GGTTATGTTAGGCTATGTATATTACAGGTGTGGTTAGGTTAGGTGTGTTACAGGTGGGGTTAGGTTAGGTGTGTTACAGGCGTGGTTATGTTAGGTTAGGTACGTTATAATTGTGGTGATGTCAGGTTTTTTGAAGAATATGAAATTGCATGTTATATTGACCTTAATATTATCCAAAATAACAAAAACAAACGTGTGTAAAATGTTGATATTCCTTATGTTTTTACAGCTAAAACAGCCTGGGGTCACACTGACCCCAAAAACACTGATAATGTGTACAAAAGGTGTATAGGACACTGAAAACATCATCATGTTTACCCAGTTGTCCCCATTAAAAATGGAAAAGTCATTAAATAGGAAGCAAAAAATGATGTCAATCATTTATTTAGAGTTGTTAAACACTGAATGGGTGTCAAACTGACCCCAAAGATAACAGGAGGGTTAAATTCTTTTGAATATCTAAAAGCATTCACTGTGACAAATATGCAATAAAAAGGAAAGATCAATTACTTGCATTTAAAGGCTGATTTGACTGGAAAAGAAATAAATGAAGGGAGTCTTTGACTTTTGAAAAGGCACACAGTCCTGAGCTGTGTATCTGAGAGGAAACGTGTGGTGTTTCCTCACAGCTAAACTGCAGAGCGATGAGTAAGCAGTGTGACAAAACTATGAGCAAATTGCCATCAAAGCCGAGAAAAAAGGAGCGAAACTGGCTGAAGCACCGCAGCCTGTTTCTAAATGGCAGGAAAGACTTTATTTCATAATGCTGCAGAAGAGAACACGTATTCAAACCATAAACCGCAAACATCAGAGCTCTGACCTGCATGCAAACCTCACTGAAATCTTTCAGATCAACAGAAACAGTGTGTTTTACTTGGGGCTGCTCGATCATGGGAAAAATCATAATCACGATTATTTTGGACAATATTGAATTCATGAATATTTAATAGGATTACTGATTTGGAAACATCATCCCTTTACTAAACTTTAAAAAACTAAAAAAGACAATAAATAAAATAAATATATATAATGTATGAGCAGAAGGAACCGCCGGACTCTCGGTGTAATAAAGCCTTTAGCCTTGATTTAGCCTTTAGCACAGCAGCCCACTAGCTGGGCCTCTGCGTCTGCCCATGTGTCGGTCAGCTGGATCACTCAGCAGCGGGGTCTCACAGCCTGTCGCTTCAACCAAGCCAGAAAAAATACTGAAAGTCGCTGATACTGACAGCGTAAATGACAGTGATATTTTCTGAACTGACGCTCAGAGATGCAGCTTGAGTGAACAAGACGCTCGTATGAAACAAACGACGTTCAGCTCTGTTTTTGAGCCAGAGAAGCTGCTGTGTGCTAATGTGTAAACACCACAGGTTTATCTCTATGCACTTAAGTTCTGTTTTTAACTGTTTTGCACAATAAAGATATTTTACATTTACTTAAGTTGTTAAACATGGTTCTTAATACTAATTATATAATAGTAAATACTAAATAGATACAGTAAATAAACAAAAATATGTTTTCTTAAGCATCTAATAAATTTAATCCAACTAGTAAATGCCATCTACCCAAGCTGAGTGTGTTATTTGTGACGCAGAACATAGATTTTACCAAAATAAAGTATTGTAACATGTAATTGTATAAATATCAGGACTTATAGGTGAGTTAGGTTAGATAGAGTTGGTATCGGTACTGAGTATCAGCCAGTACTTAAAGATCGGAAGGAAAAAAGTGGTATCAGTGCATCTCTATTTATACCTCAAGACAAAAGGAGAGCATCATTGTAAAACAGAATGTGGCACAATATTTGTTTTGTCTCAATTATCTTGGTTTCATAATCATTGGAAGCCAAAATTGTAATTGAAAATAAAATTTGATTAATCGCCCAGCCCTAATTTCACTTTCAGTCTATTAAAGATAATCTGGTATTAACCTGGCTGCCTTAACATTTAGATTCTATTAAAACAAATAATAGCTTAACAAACCAATTTTTGTTCTGTTAACGCCTTACTTTAAGGTAAAATAAACATGTTTTATAGAACACAATACCTACATTTAGAGCCAGTTATTCATTCAACCTAATGAGAAACTGTAGAACAGACTCAGTTTATATCACAATACCTACATTTAGAGTCAGTTATTCATTCAACCTAATGAGAAACTGTAGAACAGATTCAGTTTATATCACAATACCTACATTTAGAGTCAGTTATTCATTCAACCTAATGAGAAACTGTAGAACAGACTCAGTTTATATCACAATACCTACATTTAGAGTCAGTTATTCATTTAGCCTAATGGTTAATATGTTATTTGCAGTCATGTGACTCCAATGAGGTGTGAAATCCAGACAGAAGGCAGGAAGTGTAAAGCAGGATGGACAAGATGGAGCCTGTACTGCGCTAGTTTAGATGACACTATTCGAGGAAACTATGAACAGAAAATCACAGCATATGTTAGATGTTATGAAGAGTGATTTTTTGCTGAACTAAAAGACTCGCCTGCTGTCGAGGCAGCAGATATGAGCAGCTGCCTCGTCCTCCAGACGTCCTTCTACTCAAAATCACTAATGAAAGCACACAAAAGTATGGAGGCACAACTTTACAAGCTTCCTATTTAAATGTTACTACTCCACCTCAAATGGTGCAGCAGTTATTATAACGCCTGACGCCAGAATGTAACTGCTGCACCATTTAAGGTGGAACATTCGAACAAGAAGCTGCCTGGCAGGGTGAGTTATTTAGTCTTTTGTGTAGATGTTAATCCTGATTTGAGTGTTAGTGGAGCTGCTTGTAGTTACTGTTTTAAATCTATCAGCAGTTCACACACACAGATGGATTGACCAGAATACACACTCCACTCCTGACCGCAGAAATCCTGCACCACCACACCTTAAAACCCCCCACACTAACACACACTCATACAGAGAAAGAGCATTCAGCACTACTGAGAACCAGAGAGAGAGTGAGGGGAAGAGGGATAGAGAAAGAGGGAGGAGAAGAAAAGTAAAGAGAGTGAGGGAGGGGGGAGAGAGAACGAGAGAGAGAAGAGAAGAAAAAGAGAAGAAGAGCAAAAGAAAAAGAAAGAGGCAGAAAAGGAAGGAGGGGAGAAAGAGAGAGAGAAGGGAAGAAAAGGAATCAGAGAGAGAGAGAGAGATGGAGAGAAAGAGAGAGGGGAAGAAAAGTAAAGAGAGTGAGGGAGGAGGAAAGAGAGCAAGAGAAAGAGAGAAGGGAAGAAAAATAGAGAGAGAGCGAGAAACGAAGAGAGAAAGAAAAAGAGGAAGAGGAAGAAAAGAAGGGGAGAGAGAGAGAAGGGAAGAAACGAAGGAGAGAGAAAGAAAAAGAGGAAGAAAAGGAGGGCGAGAGAGAGGGGGGACAGAGAGGGGAAGAAAAGGAAAGAGAGAGGGACAGACTGGGTCTTTGATATGTGTGTTGCTGAGGGAGAGTGAGGATGTAAGACTGCAGTGATTGTGTGCGTGTGTGTGTGTGTTGGGGGTAGAGGGTGTTAAAGGGGCAATAAAGGCCTGTTTTGGAGTAAAACAGAACAAAATGCCCTGTCTCACACCTCTGAGGGGGGCTATGACAGTGAAGGTGAGGTATGCGTTTGGGGGTGGTCGAGGTGAGCAACAGATCCAACTGTGAAATTCAGCAAGCACCATTAAAGTGTGACAGCAGGCCCACCATCAGGGGGTCACTCAGGGGGGGAACGCCCCACCAACCAATCATCATCATCATCCTCACTTTACACACACCTACACAGCAACAGGCAGAAATCAGCAATGAGAGTGAGAGTAAATTTGGCGCATTTTGGGTATTTTCAAATTATGTCAAAAACTAAAAAAACAAAAATGGACAAAAATGGAGATACGAGGTTTAGTAGTAGCGATATTCTTCATCCTCTAGATGATGTATGTTCGTATATTCAGGTAAATGGTGCAATATTTTTTTAAAAAGCGGCTGCATCAAGTTTGAGTTTTACGTTACGTCTTCTTCTGTGAGTTTATTGGCTGGTTGCAAAGCATAAATCTGATTACTGTCTGACTCATGTCGACCTGGAGTGTCCCCATTAGCCGATTGCTCAAGAGCATGTAAACTTGTTGATTAGATTACTGACAAAATCTGATGTTCTGTAGTTATCAGATTATTAAGTGCATGTGAACGCACTCAGTAATAAACACAGGAGGTTTGTATGAACACTCTGTATCAGCTGCTCTGCGCGGAGGTGCTGTATCTGCAGGTTTTCTAGACGGGCGGACATTTGGTGATCTGCTGTCTGTGTGGCTCTCCTGCTGATTCTCTCCTGACTGAAACCTAAATGTAAATCACTCTGTCAATCTGTAACTCTAATGGTTCTAATCGTCAGGCTTTCCAGCAGGACAGGTAAGCTTTTCTGAGTGTATCATGAATATAAGTATTTAATAAATCCTTCCCAACTCAGAAACCCCTTGTAATATTTAAATATACAAAAATATAAAAGAAAAAAAAATACATATATACACACACACATTAGACTCTAAATATATACACATATACACAATATACACATTTGTATACACCAGTATTGCACCATTCCAATATACAGTTTCGTACAAGTTATGAAATAGAAGTATATTTGTATAAGGCTGTGATATGTACAGTTGTACACATTTCTATATATGCGATATGTGAATCTAAGGTAGATAAATGAAATGCAGGGTACACGGGATAGAATATAGATATATAGATATTCCAGATTATACAAGATATGGATAGAAGATGTACAAAATGTCAATCTATATGTGCAGGTATAGATTTACTAGATCAAAGTTACAGTAAGACAGAGCAAACAGCATAATCAGTCCTGTTTAACTGGATGTGTGTGAAAAGTTTGTAATCTTATATTTTAAAATATGGCTTTTGTCTTTTCCAACTGACCAAATATCAGAAAAAAAAATACAGTGAAATATCGTACATTGTGGAAACTTTTTGAAAACTATTGTGATATTAAAAATTTGCCATATCGCCTACCTCTATTGTCCCATACTGTTTCGTGTGGATGTGAGAGTAGTTATCTCGGTAACAGTGTAAGGGGTTAATATTTCCGAGCATTCTCCTCCTAACCTTCACGTGAGAATCCTTTATATGAGTCACGCTGAGCTCCTCCTGACCTTTCTCCATGAAGTGTTGAGAAATAGGGCACGTGAGGCGCACTTTACACAGACCTGCACTCTTCTAAACAGACTAAAAGAACTTTTACTTTCAGATTTCGACTGAACACTGTTCAGTTCCTCAGCGCGTCACTCAGAATTTCACCATCACTACATTAAATTAAAGCCATACTGAGAGCACAGAAGGCCACAGTAGATCACACGCAGCTTGAAATTTACAGAACAAGGCAGTCAGTCTCTTAGGTGAACAGACAAAAGCTAATGGCCAAGCTAACATTACTAGCCTAGCATTTTTCAGCTCGAAAACAGCCAGTCTGAAGAGGCAATACTGATACCAATCATACTTAAGTGGTTGAGATGTAAACAGAGTCATTTAGAGTGATTTGGTGTGAAAAGCTCCATTCTAGGGAAACTTACTGAGAATTGTTCACAGTGGTGGTGACAGGAACCAGACGTCCACCTCTAAAAGCTCCCTCACAGAAAGTCATTACATGAAATGGTTATGAATTCACTGCCTGATGTCTGAGACCCTGTTTTACAATAGTTTTGAGAAGATTTTGGCCTTAAACTCCATGTATGGAGGGATACATAATATACAGGGTGTTGTGAGGCAAAATAGTAGCCAAAGAAAACGTATTATTTCAGATTTTCCACTATTTTCCCATCATCAACAATTCATACCCATATAAAACTCAGCCGACACATGTAGGTTCACTGGTGGTTTTGGATAGTAAATAAAATGTCTATATTAGTGTTGTAGTCATGGTGACATCTGAGTCGACTAGTTTCTCTACAGTGAATTGTTTCACATCAAACTATGAAACTATGACTTTGTTTACATCTCAATGACTGAATCATACAGAAATTTTAAATGGCCGGTGGAATTCCCCTTTAAGATCATCACTCAGTCAGAGCGAAACTAAGTGGGCGAATGACAGATCAGCATTTTTGCTCTGCAGCATTGAGGGGTAAAAGTGCAGTACGTGGGTCTAACATGAGGAAACATGTACAGCCGAGGAGCCACAGAGCTCCACTGTGGCCACAGTGCTGGTACGTACATTCTCTATTCCACATTATCACATACAGACGCACCTGATTAAATGTACGTTAAATGCACTACGATCTAAAGGCTTACGCTCACATGCTTCGAATTTGTTTCCAAAAAAAAATAAACATGTGGAAGTTGATGCTTATGCATGAATTTAGCTAAAACCTTAAAAAGCAATGCCTTCAGCAATACTTTAGTATTTATGAACAGCTTGTGTCAGATAACATGAGCTGTTTTAATATGGAAATGACATTGCACCGACATAAGGGGTCTTAACCCGTCAATTGACTTCTATAACCTAAGAATTGCTCAGCCAGTTTACTGGAGTCCCAGTAGTTGCTGAATAATAAGCCTTAGTATGTAATAAGCCTGGATTTGAAGGGGTTAAACTAAAGTGATGTACATTCGTTTTCATTTATAACAGCGTTATGAAGCATCTTTTCCCAAGTAAGGAAGTTTATAAGCCAAATATTAGTAAAGAATACCACAAACTATTTCAATTCTATGAAAGTTTGTGAGCTGAGAGTTTATGGGCTGCAAACTTAAGTGATTTACGTTTTTCTACATTATGATTTACACATTAATAAGTGGTTAAGATGTAAACAGAGTCATTCAGAGTGGTTTGGTGTGAAACGCTCCGTTCTAGAGAAACTTACCCAGGCAGAGATGTTCACAGTGGTGGTGATAGGAACCAGACGTCCACCTCTAAAATCTCCCTCACAGAAAGTTATTACATGAAATGGTTATGAATTCACTGCCTGATGTCTGAGACACTGTTTTATGGCAGTTTTGAGAAGATTTTGGCCTTAAAATCCATTGACTCCTTTAAGTCCTTCATAACAGTGTTATAAATGGATCAAATGTCTATCACAGTCCAATGGCTCTACATCAATACAATGTCATTTACTTTATAAAACATCTTTATGTCATCTCGCAAACATTACTGATGTGAACTGTTTATAAACACTCGCTATTTAAATGTAATTCAGTGCTTATTCATGCATTATGTAAGCAGCCTTTGAATAAAGTGTAACTGAACGATGTTCACATTCAAATCAAGTAAATTCAACACACCATTTTAATCCTCTGTAACAAAATCAGCTGCAGTTCACTCTACACAGCTTGTCCAGTATCACTGCTGGCCCTTTACACCGATAAACACTCCTGCCTCCACCTGCCCGACCTCCACACTCACACAGACAGGTCGGACTGCTGCAACAGGTGTTGGAGTGTGTGAGAGTGATAAATAACACAGCTGACACGCTTCAATAAAGCTGTAAAGTAAACCAGCTTAGGCCTGAGATGAACACAAACAGAGCTCTAAAAATCCACACCCACATTTCAAACCCTGTATGTTTTGTTCTGAATACATTAAGACCCAATACCTCTCAATTATGAGATCTGAATAGACCACGAAATTTCGGCATCTCTTTATATCTTGTATTTCCAAAAGAGCTAACTTTACAGGAAGGAAAAACATCCTTAAAACCATTTCTGTTGAACTACCGTCTATCAAACTAAGATTTTGAAGCAATGTAAAGGGCAGCTGGTGATATCAAAAAATGAAATACGGAGATAAAAATGAAAATACGAGGTTCTGTCCCAACAACGACGATCATTATCGCGACAAATGATGTCACAATACACTTTTCTGAGCATACGCTGGATATCAGTGCTTACAGAACACTGACTAACTGCATGTTTCATTACGAAGTGAACAGAATGTTTTATTAGATTTAGCGTGGTTTGAAAAACGTTGAATAAAAATAACTATTATTATATATTGATATGTGGTACACAATATTTTTTGCCATATTGCTCACCCCTTATATATAAAAACATACTAAACTCCTAAGTTAATGGAACCAGACCTTTTTTCCAAGTAGTTTTGGGCCGGTTCTTTTGGCCCGTTCATCATGAAAATTACACACAAGGTAAAGAGCAACAGGCATTTTCACATTATCTCAAAAACTAAAAAAATGACAAAAATGGAGATACGAGCAACCATGTGCATACTTAAATGGTTCTTTGCATGGTGAAATGGCTATTCCAATCGATGGAGAATGTGTGGTAAATGGATCAAAGGGGGTTCTGATATTTTTACAAGATTTTTGGTGCTATACAGAACCATTCACAAACATTTAAACATGAAATTGTTTAAGCAAATGTGATACAGGCAATCTTTATATAAGCAATCCTCAAAAATCATAACCCCTACAACATGTATGCATACACATATATGTGTGTGTGTTGTAGGGGGTGTGATTTTGAGGGTTGTTTTGATACAGTGCTGTGCATCGGGCATTGAAAAAGCCCTGTTAGTTAATGTGTGTAGTGTATAACTATATATCTAGAACTCCGGAATCAAGCACAAAACATTGAAAACCAAATTGAATCTCGACTCCGGAACTGAATATTGATACTGAAAATGTGAATGTGTGTTATTACACCCCTGGTGTGCATGCATGTAAGAAGTGCACATGATATACACGTTAACAAATTAATATTAATATATCAGCACAAGGCACATTTGGACATTTATTTATAGATTTATAGGGTAACAAAATTTTATCATATCAAAACACCGCCATATGATCATTACACCCTTTTATCTATGTATCTATATGACTGTCTATGTATTTATGTATAAATGTATGTATGTGTGTATCTACCCATACATGCATACACACCTAAATACATACACATTTAACTGAATTTAGAGTGTAAACACACACATACACACACACACATACACACACACACACACAGTGCCATATGGGTCAGTAAAACTGACCAGTACAGAATAAACATAAAGCCCACACCGTATCTGCTCATTAATGTATACATAAACAACACACTCACGAGACTGAATTTAGCCTCCTATTCGCCAGCTTCTTGCTCGAATTATCCCGTTCCACTTTAAATGGTGCAGCACTTCCATTCTCGCGCCTGAGGCGTTATAATGCCCGCTGCACCATTTAAGGTGGAACGGGATAATTCGAACAAGAAGCTGGCGAATAGGAAGCTTCAGTCCGGTCACTCACTCACTGCACAGTCAGTAAACATATCCTCTCGTTCTCTCTTACCGGGAGTCGCGTGTATGGGCTGCAGCTCCCCGCGCGCCCTCCGTCCGTTCTGCCGCCGCACGCGACCGCGAGCATCCCGAACCAGACCCAGTGCCCTGGACAGAAAGCGAGAAGCGCACGAGCCCGAGCTCGAGCCGACGAGGTCCAAAAACAAAAACGAAAAACACAAACCAGCAGCAGGCGCGCGCCGCGAACGAGCCTACAGGCCAGCAATACAGATCGATATTTCCGCCCGCGAGCGTTAAAGCCCGTGCCTGCGGAACAAACCGGTCTCGAGCTCGCAGTCCTTTGTCTGGGTTCTGCGGCAGAGGGCGCAAATCAGGCTCGAGCCCCAAAACAGGCTTCTTTAATCACAGCTCTGCTCCTGCGCGCGCGTCTAAAGCTCCAGCCACCGGCTTTCTTTCCTTCTTGCCTTACTCTTTCTTTCTCTCCTTCTTGTTTCTGACCTGCTCGTTTCTTTTTTCTCCTCGTTTTAGTTCGTTTTCTCGCTCTCGCGCCGTTCCTCCTGCTGTCTCCGGGAGCTTTAGCGCCAAATGTACGTCCCGCGAAATTCAGATTCTCCCGCGCCGATGCCGCGCGCTGATTGGTCCGTTCGCCTGCATACATTTACATAGAACCGTTGCCCCGCCTTCTTAAAGGGCCAGCGCGCCTTTTGTGGCTGTTGCTGCTTCGGGAACAAAGAGCAGCTTCTTTAAACAGTGTTTCATATGGGTTTTAATAAAACACAAACGCGTTTAAAGAAGGTTTAAACATGAATAAACATAAAGATCGACGAAAGAATAAAAACAACATAAGCATTTTATAACATTAGAC